TATTAAATTCCTTGGAAATACTTACATTTGGAAAAAATTCTCTATGAAAATTGAGGCACGAGTTTTGAAATATGAGAGGATATGTTTGGCTTTTTCTAAAATCCATTAGGATATTTAATTTGGGAGGGAAGGAGTAATAGAATTTGGACTTCAAATATGAAGATGCTACACACGAATATTTTACACGTTGAAATGAATTTTGTAGGTAAGGAGACGAGTGCCAGATTTTACTCCAGCTAAAGTATTGGATTTTGGGGCAGGAACAGGATCGGCAATGTGGTGAGAATGTAATTTAACTGTGCTTTCCTTTTGTAAATGTAGGACAAGTGCATAGGTTTGTTTCCTTGTCATTATTTCTTCTCTGTCCTGTTCCTTTTTTTGGTTTTTAATTTCTAACTTGTGGTTAAATGAGATAGGGCAATGATGGAGGTGTGGCCTCAGTCTTTAGAGACAATTAATTTGGTGGAGCCATCACAGTCGATGCAAAGAGCAGGACAAAGCCTTCTTAAAGGTGAAATTTTGATGCGTTGCCAGTGTCGTAGAGAAATGCATGGAAATATTTTTGAAAGGGCATTTTCCACGTGATAATTAATAACTGGCTTTCATTGGTCCTGTTTTGATTATCATCGAGAAGTTGCAAGTACATTGAAGTAGTACTGTATTAATTAATGACAGAAGAGTTGAAAGCTAGTAAATGTACACGTCCTGATTACCAGTCTAAAGGATTGAGGTTTCCGTTACCTTGGATTCTTGGAATTCTATTCTATATATGCACTTCTAGCAATGTGTAAATAAATTAACTTTTAGCAACTGGTCTTTAGTGTCCTGCAGTTTTTGATATTTCTCATTTTATGCCCTCGCTTATCAACATTGATTCTCCTTCTTCTTCTTTTAGGATTCCCCTTGTTCTTGGCATGCTAGAACATTTAATTTCCCTTATAATGTTTCATTTTCATGTGAGGTTCACAGGGAATGTTAGTACCGGGCCTTATTGATTTCTATATTGGGTTACAAATGCAGGTCTAAAAAATTTGCCACTCATTCAAAGTTATGGCAGCATACAATCGTTATCTAAGCATGCCAATAAGTCTGGCAGACAACACGATCTGGTCATTGCTGTAAGTATTATTCTTATTTCCCTCACTCTCTCTAGCCATTTGGCATTTATATTGAATAATAAAGTTAAAATAGTAGTTTAAAATCTTTATTCGCTTAAATTTA